AGTATATAACACTAATACTATTTCGATCAAACTTTCACTACCTGTTCACTTATTTTTATTCCTGACTGTAGTATAGTTTTGGATTATTCAAGAGGAACACGTCGCTATATTCTTACCACAACTTTTCAATAAGGCATTTATATATAATATTATTTTCGTTTTTGTTTACCTATGGAACATCTTGACAAAAATTATATGAAGATTTGTGTTCAATATCAAGTTCAAATAAAAGTATTTAAGAATACCAATATCAACCTCAAACACTTATTGTAATTAATTCTTATTGTTTGTTTGTACAGAAATAGATTAAAGATTTATATTCCTTATATACAATCCACGGGACAATTTACTGTATTTAATTTTCCAGTCATTAACCATCGGCACTAAAACTTTCATAGCACCTTCCTTAACCACATTAAATCAATCAGCCCAAACCCGAACACCCCTCACACAGATCGTAAAGATCGCAAATTGCAAACCTACATACGAACTTTATACTTTCCTTCGAGCATTTCGACACGCTTCAGCGGTTCGTCAAAGCCGGAAGTATGTAGAAACCTCCGTAAGCGGTATAAAGATGCCAGATAACGATCGTCGAAAGTCTACCGAACATCGTCGCGTAACAAGACCCATCGAAGCAAACAAATTTTATGGATGATCGTTTTACGATCGCGATATCACTCGGTTTCGCGAGTTAAATACCGAAATCATAGATGTCGAATTCGACATGTGATTCAACGATACGCGACAAAAGGAAGCAAAGTAAAACAAAATGTAAGCCAGGCGCATTTTTGTTCGAATTGAACAGAAAACATAAAGTCTTATTGTCGCTTCTCGTTAGCACGCGATCGTTTGAAATTCGTAGCTAACTGCACGGGAAAAGAACCCTCTGCAACAGTGGCTTCGCGATTCGTCGAATATCACAGACATGCGCCCGCCATTGGCAAGAGGGAGACAGCAAGCAAAGGAGAGGGAAAACGATGAAGTAAAGAGGGAGAGAGAGGAGAGGGTTGCTCGCAAGTGAGCAGCACGTGCGTAGCAGTCATCCTGGCGCACTCGCCAGGACCGGTTCTTCCTTTTCAAACAATCTTCCTCATCCATTGACAATCGATTGCTCGTGTCTTTCATGTTCCATTAGTGGTCTCTCGTAATTTAGTTCTCCAAAGCTCGATTACCGTCCAGCGCTCAGATAACGAGTCGCGTCTACGTGCGTGTTTCGACTCTGACCGCCGATAAATTCTTCGGTGGAAGGTTGAAGTACGGCGCGAATTCCGTAAAATCGCGTTGGGACCATTGAAAAATGCAGTCATCTCGCGAAGATCATCAGTGCTCTTACAACCGAGATCTCGGAAACAATAGTGGCTCGCGGAGGAAACTTATACTCGACGAGGAAATTCTTTTATCAATCTTCTCGTGGATTAAATCAGTGATTAGTCAAGGGAAAGCTCGATTTTTTATACTTAGACCAACTGAGAATCTCGATTATCATAAAACAAAAGCCTCCATATGTGTCTTCGTCGTGTCATTGATCGGTGCACTCGATTCGTAGATGCTCGATTCGATGAAGAACCGTTCGAGAGATGACAGTGTGCGAGGAGGACCGGAAGAACATGAGACACAGCAGCTCTTGGCCGGATTGGGCGCTACAGACGGTGAAAGTGCGCGTGGATCCGTTATCGCGCGCCTTCACAATTATCCCGACGATTCGCGAGGGTTTGCACCCGTTATTGAAGAGCAACTGGATCGACGAGATCGTTTTCCTCGATCATGACGGCTCGACGTCCGCCGAGACGAAACGACGATTCGTGTGCAGCACCAAGACGGTCGAACAGAATGGCCACGGTGAATTAGGGGAAACTTTCGAACTACGCACCCTGGTACCTGACGTTATGAATGAAAGTCCCGGAAAAGCTATTGGCGAGGATGGAAGAAGTGGCGAATGTCATGAAAACGAGTCAAAATTGCCTTCGAGACTGTGGTCCAACGAAACTGCCAGAGAATCTCACGAAGATAATAGAGATATGTCTGAGAGAAGTAAGCCAGACTTCTATCTAGTTGACGAAGAACGTACGTCGATACCATACCGCCAGGAAGACAATACGAATAAACCAAACTTCAGATTGGAATCCACCGATGAACCTTCCAAATGTTCCACTGCACAAAACAAATACACAGAAGAATCAACCGAATTGAAACACGAAGATCTTCTACCTTTAGAAATCATCGTAAAAATCGAAACATCCAAGCATCTACAAACAGTTCCAATTGGAACGGAAGACAGAGAAGGCGCTCAAGGTTTGACCCAAAAATCCAATCCAAGAAAGACACCAACTCCTCAAATTGAAATAGTAGATTACGACGATATAACAAGCTTCTCCCTTCTAACGGAAAGACAAATGCAACATGCTTGCCCGAAATGCACTTCGGAAGGTCAGCTTCTTGAACGTGTAGACCCATTTCGTTCGCCGGTTTCGAGCAGGAAAAAAACCGTTGGTCGGTGTCAGGATGGGAAGCCGGAAATGGTCCGTAAATATTCCGCGACGGAGGGTAAAATGAGGAACAGCTGGCGTAGAATAGGAGCGAGCGGTCTAATTGGAGGCGCCAGGAATAGGGAGAAGGAGAAGTACGCGCGGAAGAGGAATCCGCTGTGCAGGCCGACGAACGACGTGAGGAAAGAGGCCACCCTGAGGAGGCATTACTATCCGGAGGGAGGCTGGGGCTACGTGATCGTGACCTGTTCTGCGCTCGTCCATTTCCTCGGGATCGGTTTGCAGCTCGCGGCGCCTGGCAGCTGGCATCTAACCGCCAAGCTAAAGTTCCATCAGCCCGCCCTTCACAGCGCAGGTAAGATATCTCTCGTTTTATAGAAAGTGGAAACAACGTGATGAGGTAGAAAAATTAGTCAGTAGTTAGAATTTAGGAATTTCTAATTAGTTTATTCTCCTGTGTTAAAGAGACTTATCTACCTATATCCTTTCAGTTTGTAGTAAATTTGATGTTCATAACATTACTTACTTAATTACTAGTTACAAATTAAACCTCAGGTCATACACGTGAAGATTAAGCTTTAGCAGACTATTACATTATGCAGAGCTTCTTATTTGTACGATCTGTGATCCTCAAATTTTTAAATCTTCTAAATAACAATTCATCCCAATCAAAAATTAGGTTAATATGGTAGAATGGCTATTATGAAAAATATGTCTTACCTTGTCGAATAAATATTGGCCAGTTCTAGGAAAGCTTTCATTACGAGATTCATAACTTTATGATTTAATCAGATATAATTCTTCTGTGATACAATTAAAAAGTCAGACTCAGAAATTGTGTAACATGATGAATGTTCTGCTTAAAAGAGTCATTCTTGTTACGAACTCTCCGATTGGTAATCCTACTTTACGCTTCATTTTACAACCTCGCTACACGACTTCCAGCAAGTATACTTTTGCTGGAGAAATGTGTCAAGTTTAATTGGACGTTACTTAATTGAACCAGACAGTCGTTTATCTTAATCGGAAGTTCGACTGTTCGAATCGATGATAATCACAGAATGGCGGTCAAAAAGAGTTTTAACGCGTGAATTCGGGAGCCGGGCAATCGGTTGATTGCGCTAAGTGAAAACCTTGTTCGAAGATACGATCGAGCAGCGTTCATAAATCAAATCGTTTTTACGCGGTCGTTTTTTTCCCACGGTTCGAGCCGGCGCCAATGATCGTCGCTGATCGTTATGTACACGCGGGTAGAGGCTCTCGAGAGACTGTTCGCTCCGAGATGCGAAATTACCCTTTGAGGCTTCGCGATAAGGAATGCCGACAGGTACTTGGTCTCAAACTGGTGGATAGGTTGTTGTTGGGACTGGGAAATTTAAGATACGTTGAGTCATGTTTCCGTTAGAGTGATTTTGTCGAAGTATTGATGCGAGGAATATTCGTCGAGGGAGATTTGAAGTTCAAATTTGAAAGCATCGAGTCATGTTTGCAATGGTGCAATCTTCTCGAAATACTCATTGGTAAGTTTTGAGTTGAAATTTGAAATCATTCAGATGGAAAGATCGCAATTTTTCAGTTAAAAATTGTATTGGACGGCCGTGCATTTAAATACGCTTAAAGCGAAATAAAATGGCAACTTGGTTCTTACTTTAAAACGAAGAGGGCTCGAGTTAAGAGACAAATGGTGGCATAAACAACTCTTTAGTCCAATCAACGGTTCTCGAAACCCCGTTTTAATAACCACAAGTCAATTATTACGAACGATCGTTTGTTTTTGCACACACTCTTTACACCCCTGGTCAATTTAAATACCAACTCGTTGGCTCAGCAGGTCACTTGTCCCGCTATCGGTGATTCGCGCAATGAATTGCCGTGAGTGGTCAATAATTCCACTTGTAATCAACTTATCTCAACACTGTTCTCCAAAACGGAGATACAGAACGCGTCGTATCAGTTTGTTGAAGGTAATTCTCATATCGCGTGAAAAAAATACTGTGGCTTCGTTTTTCAGGTTTCTCGATTTTGCTGCATGCAAATGAAACGTCTCGCTTCGTTAACGATGTTGTGTACAATATTTCAGACGGTGAGATTACGTGTCTGATTCCACGAGTACTGGTTAGGAGTAAAAGAAAAAAAAAGAAAAGCGAATAAGAATAAGGAAGAACAAAAAACAAATTCTTATAATATTTTTTGGAAATGTAATCGTTACTCAACGACCGTAAAAAGCAAGACCAACTGTGTGTTTCGATCGGCGCATAACCGCAATAGTGAGCTCTTCAATTTATCCGATACGAAATCGTGTAGCAAGACCAAAGTCAGAGAAAAGGAGAATTGTTGTATCGACAGTCTGACCGCGTCGCGAAAGCCTCACGTACTTGTTTCACGCGTGCAAGGCATCGCGATGCATTTACGAAGGACCGATGAGCCTTCTTACGAGGGACAAGCATTAATTTGCTTGCTCTCGACAGGTAAAACGTAACCTTTCATGCGGACACGTGGGCCAGTTCGAAATGGTCCGTGTTCCCGAAACGATCGTGAAATGTAAAACACTTGGAGAGGAAGAATATTGTGGTTTCGTTTCTTGCTGTGATATTCGATCGAGTTCGTGACTTGAGATATAGTTTTTTCACGCGACGAATTATCGAACTTTATATTTGTTATTGAGTTTATTTTAACTAAATAATATAAATTTTAAATCGTTTTGAGGTAACGGTTAACAAAATCGCTAGCAGATTAATTTCAGATTAATTCGACACTAACTTGAATTGAACTTTGAGCTATGAATATATTCTCAAGAAACTAGTGTTTAGTGTAAAAGTGCCAATCTCAGACAGTTATTGTTTACAGTAAAATATATTCTATAAAAATGAAACAAACAGATACGAACTATGATGAACGTTTTGTTTCGATTTTTTACGATAGCAAACATGTTAAGTTCAACAATGACGAAGAGACTCTAGTGTGTATAATATAAAACATCTGACACGGAGTGAAGTATTTATTTAAAATAATTCAAAAATAAGTAATCCAGGAATAAATAAACCATCTATCAGACAGATATTAATTTCCTCACCAGCGATTTCGCTCCAAGATTATCATCAACGTCCATAAAAATCATGAAATAAAACCGTACAAACTATTTCGCCCGAGGTAATGCCCATTGAACGGGGTAATACCTGCTGCAACAAGTACCCGCATGCTGTATAGCACGCGATTTATCGATCACCGCCTAATCATTATTTTCATCGCGAAAAATCAGCCCTCGAAATGGACGTAGGGTGTAGTTCATCAATTCCCTCGAACAGTGATACATATCGAAAACGTCGTGACTCTTATAGCGCCGCGATGATTAACGAGAATGCGACTGCTGACGAATCGTCTGGAAGCAGTCGTCACGCAGAAGCTCCAATAAAATCTCAGCAATTTATCATTCAAAAGATACCAAAATTACCAGACAATTCCAGTTTAGAATCGGAGAGTTGGTCCATGGAAAGCTCTGTATTGAAACGAGACCTAACTAGAACTTCGTCTACAGACACCAGCCGGTCTTGGAACGAGAGCATCGAAATACCAGAAATATTTTTGTCCCATCCTGAACTATGGAACCGGCTAGCAAGGTGTCGTTGTTTTCTCATGGCAAAACTGTCGATCTCATCCGATTGTCAGTGTCAGTGTCGTTGCCAGTGCCGGTGCAGCCAGTGTCAATACTATCGTCGCAAGATCTCCAGTTGTTCGAGCAGAGATCATACGTTCCTAGCCGGTTTCAAGAGGAAAGATTCTAGTTATTCGGTGTCCACCTGCCAGAGCATCCTGCCACCCTCTTCCGGCAGGAACTCGGTCGTCAGTCTGTTCCATGAAATCAAGGAGGACGGTCGTGAGGCTCAACTCGTCGACGAGATGATCCAGCGTCGGCACTCGGATCAAACGCAGTCACCACGCGGCTGCAAGATCGGCCGTGTAGATAATCGCCGATTCTCCGAACAAGCGTTCGCTAGAGGAGCAATTGAATGCGCTAGAAGAAACAGCGACGAGGTTGATGCAACCAAACCAATCATCGCAAGAACCTATCCTCGCTTCTTTCCGGAGAAGATCTCCAGAATCAACGAATCTTGGACGCCTTTGCATAATGAGAGTCACGAGACCGATCCATTGAAAGAAACTCCCGAAAGAAACATAGACAAGCGCGGTTCCGCCGCGCAGCAGAGAAAGGAGAAAAAAGATGAAGGTTCAAGAGACGTTTCGAACGAACGTCGAAGGAGTAGCATAAGTATAACGCCAAAAATGATGAGGAGACGATTCTCCGAACAGCTGATCCTCGAAGGTGGGCTGGGTAGTATTCCTGGTTATGAGGATCTGCTTGATGAACAAGAGGAAGAATCTCTCACCGCAATGAATGCTCGCAAGAAAATCACCCTCAAGAGACATTATTACCCAGAGGGTGGCTGGGGTCATGTGATCGTGCTACTCGCGATTCTAGTGCAATTGATCTGCCACGGGGTGCAACTTGGATCTGGTGTATTGCTGTCTTCGATGGTCCAACAATTTCAATGTAACGTGGGACATACAGGTATGAATTATTTAAGAATTGATAGCTTGTTTCTGCAGGTGTGACAATGGTTTGATAAAACGTTTAAAAATGATGTATTGCTGCTTGTTTACGATGTATTTTTTGAAATTGAAGTCGATGGTATATCTAGGGCTTATTGTATTGAGATTTTAATAATTTTATAGAAAAATGTATTATAGATACTCTTTTGCTTCGTATTTTTTAAATTGTGAATATACGATGGTTTCTTCTCTCGTTCCTACTTCTTCATTATTCTTATCTACAATATTGTTTCTTATTTATCAAGCTTAGATCATTCTTGTATATCATTTGCGTCTGTATCAACGGACTTAGAAATAAACTGAGGCGTTTTACGTTGAAATCTGGTCCATACGAATTTCGATCCATTTGGAGATTAATTTCACAGAATATCTTATATATATATAATACTCGGCAAAAACATTAAAAAATAAAGCATATCAAAGTAATGAGTAATAAGGTGTTGTTAGTTCCACTCTCGTTCAATAAAAAGAAGAAAAAATGGAAACATTAAACTTGAAAAAAGAAACACTTGAAAAGCATTAAAAAATAAAATTACATAACGCAACATCTTAAACGCAAATATAAGACACCAAAATTCATAATTATGTTTCACTTAAAACGACATTAAATTCACTCGAAAGTAACAGGAAACAAATTCTCACTTTTCAATTCAGCCTACACGCAATTTAAGTTCCCCGAGTAATTAAAAAAGCCATGCATAAACACGTGAATTGCTCGTATAGATACAAACGATGAATGCGTGCATC